GACAGAAGCATAAATCCAACCCTAGTTCGTCACGTCAAAATGAGATGAAGAAAGTGGTATTGGTTCATGGTGTGCCAGAATTAAAGCATGACGATAGCAGTGAACGACAGAAGCACGACATCGAAGAATGGCGGTACATCGCAGAACTATACGACATGAAGAATGTCGGGGCTTTTGATGTCACCCGTCTAATTGCTTCCACAAACTACCAAGGTAGCGGGCCACGAATTTTGAAAGTTACCTTGGCTGCGCCCGAAATGGTATCAGTGGCAATCCAAGCATGGCATGACAACAGGAAACTTGGGCCACCAGAAGTACGGTTAAGACCATTCCTTCAATTAGCACAGACCTCAGATATAGATGAGCCAGCCTCAATTGTACCTATCTCAAACCAGCCAACTGTGCAAACAACCGTTTCAAAATCTTCAGCAGACCGGCACTATTTGTGCCGGTCACTCACAGCGAACCGAGCTCCTGATGCGTCAACAAATACAATGCTGCTACACCAACACTCAGGGGTTGTACTCTAAGCTCTCGGAGCTGCGCCACCGACATGAAACGACAACTTGGGACCTCATAGCAGTCACTGAAACTTGGCTCTCAAACCACATACTTGATCCGGAGATTGAACTCAGTGAGATGTCAGTCATACGAAATGATCGTCCATCTCGCGGGGGCGGTGTTGCTCTCTACTATCGAGATTATCTGAAATGTGAGGCACTTACCGAAAATTCCCTTGTTATTCCCGACGCACTATTTTGCCGACTGCACCTAGCAGGTCGAAATGTTGGTTCACAGAAGAAGAGTGATGCTTGCCTCTTAGCAGTTATTTATAGACCTCCGAACTCATTAGCAGACAGCGATAACATTCTGTTAAACGCCCTCCGCTATGCTGTTTCACAAAAGTACTCTCACTATCTTATAATGGGTGACTTTAATGTTCCTTCAATAGCATCAGTGTCCCCTAATGGGCCATCATTTAAATCGAAACTCCTCGAATTTATGGATATCGCAGTTTTGTATAACCATGTGCATCGACCAACCAGACATCGCGGTTCAAACAAGCCATCACTCCTGGACTTAATCCTGACTAATGAAGAGTTGATGGTTGAGTCAGTAGCATACGATCCTCCACTGGGCCGTAGCGACCATTCAGTCCTAACATTTGGTTATGTATGTTATGCCAGTATTGTTTCTAAAGAAAGAGAGACTCAACGCACTATTACGGACTATTATAAGCTGCGCAGCTTAGCAGCAATCGTTGACTGGGACCTACAGACGCACAGCTCAGCGAATGACGCGTGGAATGAATTGAAAGACAAAATTAACTGGGTCATACAATCAGCATCGAAGGTTGTACCATTACGAGCATCGCGCCGGACCAATACGTGGATCCGGAGCAAAACACGTAAATGGATCAACAGAAGAGATGAAATCTGGAGGCAACATTTGCTAAGCCCATGTGATATCACATGGCAGGATTACAAAGTCATCAGAAACTACTGCACGTCACTCATTAGAGTCGATAAGTACGAATGGCAGGAGAATATGGTGCTGAAATTTACGAGTAACACCGAACTGCTATACAGATTTGTGAATGGCAAAAGAAAGGTTAAGCCCGGAATACCACCACTCAGGACAGCCAATGGCCTAACAACTACTGCTGTGGATGCCGCGAATGCTCTACTCTTGCAATTTGGCCCGGTAGCTACAAATGTCATGGGACCTTCGCCTTATCAACTCCCTACAAATGTCGTTGGCTTATCCAGCGTCACGTTTACTCCAGCAGCTGTTGCAAGCAAACTACAGTCTCTCCGGAAGTACAGTGCCCCTGGAATCGACATGATCTGCCCAAAAGTACTAAAAACCCTTGCCTCCACCATAGCAACACCACTTGCAACCTTTTTCCAGTGTCTGCTTAACTCCCATACACTCCCATCTGAGTGGAAAAATGGAATTATCACTCCGATATATAAAGGTGGTAAGCGTTCGGATCCTGCTAACTACCGACCTATTACTCTCCTTCCTGTTTTGTCAAAAGTTATGGAATCGGTAATCGCAGATGAACTGACGCGATACTTTGAAAGTCAACTGATAATTTCTAATGCCCAACATGGGTTCCGACGCAGACGATCTTGTCTCACCAATTTGCTGATTACTCGATACTTATGGACCAGGGCGGCTGATGAAGGAGTCCCCATAGATGTGATATACCTGGATTTTTCTAAAGCATTCGACAGGGTCAATCACTTCTTTCTCCTCCAAAAGCTTGCTGCCTACGGTATCAACGGTTCCCTGCTCACCTGGTTGGAAGACTACTTACACGACAGAGCAATCAAGGTAAGAGTAGCTGACACCTATTCCGAAAGCCTTTACGTCTCCAGTGGTGTTCCACAAGGATCCGTCCTCGGCCGGCTACTATTTTTAGTCTACATCAATGACCTTCCAGCAGACATTCTATCTCCAATGCAAATATTTGCAGACGACGCTAAAATATGGAGAGCTATTCGCTCAGCATCCGACCATGTCTACCTCCAGGAAGATCTGACCCGGATTAACGGATGGGCAGAAAAGAACCAGCACCCACTGAACGCTGCAAAATGTCACCTGCTGACGGTGCACAACAGCTTCGTTAACACATACTTTTTGGGGCTACATGTCATGCAACACATGACTAGTGAACGCGACTTAGGTATAATCGTGCAAGAGAGTCTTGGAAATTCGCTCCAGTGTTCGAAAGCAGCAAGTGTGGCGAACTTGAACTTGCGACGTTTGAGGCGAGCTCTCGGCACTTTTGAGCGACAGCTAGTACCATTGTTGATTAACTCCTACATTCGTCCTCATGTTGAATATGCAATTCAGGCCTGGTGTCCATGGTTAAAATGAGACATCCGCCTCTTGGAACAGCCCCAAAGAAGAGTCACAAAGGCAACGCGTGGACTACCCGGTATAATTTACGAACTGCGTCTTCGTGTACTCGGGGTGTTCTCATTAGAATACCGACGGCTTCGTGGAGATCTTACTCTCACATACCGGATACTAACCGAAAGCGCGCATCCATGTACATCACTGTTGACTCTAGCCCCATACAAACAAAACCGAGGCAACCACCTGAAACTAATGACGCAATACTCTCGTTTGAATTGTAGAAAGTATTTTTTTCCTCACTTAGAATCTGTTCTCACTGGAATGTATTACCAAACTATGTGGTGAACGCACCAGACATGACGACATTCGAAAGACTCTTAGATTTTCATCTTAGTGATAAACGATACACAACACTTTGTTAAAGTGCAATGATTTAACCACTGATACTTTACGTTTCACGTTGGAACATTTTGATTTTAAATTTCTTTTGCATATCCATCCTGTGGGTCTTGTAAATTTATGCTTTATATCCCATCATACACCATTGAACCATTAAACCCATTTGTTTAGACCCCGTGGTGGTAGCTTCTCCAGAATGGCGGAAAGAGCTCCATTTGGAACAATGTGTGGGTTCTTTATCTCCCGGAGAAAAGATCAAGCATGTAAACCAGCCGGCTACTGAGGGTGGGTCGACCAGTCCCAGTGGATAAACCTTCTTGTTTTGGCGGATGTATCTGTGGAAATCTCAGGAGGAAACGGGGAAAACGGATTTAGAACACCGTGGCTATACTCGTAACCTATTTACATTTGCAATGGAGCATTTTGCACTTTGTAACACACCGTTTACACACCTCCATCCACATCCCTTGTGTACAGTAGCAACACAAGTATAGCTAGTTGGTTCACGCCGTAGGCGTGTTTAACGCATAACAGGTGACGCCCGCGGCATCATGTCTAGCGAAGGTCCACGCCACTTATTCAACGCTGCATTAACTGTCGTGCGTGGAGATCAGTGGACAATTCAAAGGCCATTGCTAGCTGGGTCGGCGATATCGTGACAAATGTCTGTGTTTTACCAGGCGCATTCTGCTTGTTGCACTGGAGCGTGAATTGCGGCACTTCCTTTATCTCAAAGTGGGCCGATTGACAAGTGGCCACAAGTGGTAACTATTTCAGCGGAAGACACTTCACGCAATTTCCCCAAGCCGCTCTATCTACTGGGTAGTGAGTGGTTGGAAGAATCTGCCAGAACAGCTTATTGGTTCACAGACAACGTTTCAAACGATTGTAAGGCTCTCAACGAATAACTATCCCCACCAAGCACCAAGTAGAAAAAACAGTGGTGCTGAAAAATGCTTGCGTTGTGTACACTTCAGCCAACGGATTATCTAGCAATAAATATATTTAAGAAAATTTTATACGTACAAGTATATTAATTACACATATTTGGGCACAGCACCTAGTCTTAGACTTAGTAAAAGGGAATTAGTCAAGGTCATTTCTGCCGGTGCGCGGATCTGATTACTATCTGCAGTTTCCGGGAATGTTTGCCTGTTTAGCGTCATCGCACTCATTTTAACCGCAGTCTATTCATTCTCACTTTTTCTATTATTTTTCTGATGCCTCATGTGAGACCTCCAACTCTAACAAAACCACGAACAGAAGTCGTGAACCATAAACTGTTTATCTCATTTATCTCTTCTAGTGTATATTCTATATTGAGCCTGTTTTACTGTGTCGTACGACTTCACTTCCGTTTTTCTAATACACGCTGTTTATCACCCGCTGTGATCTTTCGTCCAAGGCTTCCGCCCACCGTATTTACCTGTGGATTGCGTGATTAATCGCCTTGTTGTGCTTGTGTCCTCCAGCTCGCTGGCCTTTCCCCACCTATTCCACGCTACACTTGCACAATGGCTTTATATCAACGAAGAAGTTAAAACAATTAGTAGATAATACGCTGGGTTGTTACGTCAAATTTGTACTGCAGTGCTGATGCCTGGCGAATATTTGACTTTGTGCCAGCAAACGCTCCGGCAGTTTCCAAGTGTCTTCATTGGGTAATCAGGTAGTCACGACGCTTTCACCACATCTTATTTAACAACGATAGTACCAAGTGTTGGCAGAACAGCATGGCTATCTTAAAAAGTAGGCATGTTTTACTAATATTTTGTGCTATTTTAGAGTTGCTCTCCCTAATAATGAATAGCTCCAAACAATCAGTACTTTGTCAGCATGCTGCCAACAAGGGGCGGCGGGAGCTCTTCCAACACAGGAGGATCTTCTGCGACACAAGACCTGAGGTATTTATCCCATTAGGTAAAATGGTGATATGACGCCATCTAGAATACTGTGTCCAGGCGTGGTCGCCGTATCACCGGAGGTTTGTTATTTGTAGAGAGAATGTACCGAAGCTGGAGGCTAATATTTGAGGTTTAACGTGAAAAGCCGTATGTTGAACGTCTAAAGCGTCTATGATTTTTTCCGTGGAAAGGGGTATATTGAGAGATCTAATAGAGCTTTTCCAGATCATGAAGGGCCTCAGTGACATCAAGCTTACCGGCCTGTTTGAGCAAACTACATCAGATCACCTAAGAGGTCATCCTTTTTTATTCAAGCATCGGAGGTTTCGGCTAGATATCAGAGCTAAATATTTTGCTAACCAGGTTGAAAGTCAGAACACGCTTCTCTTTTCGTTGATGAAGTGTACCACGGTTGACAGTTGTTGGTCAGGACTATTTGCAGGACTATTGTAAACGTATTGGTGTTCCTCGCAGAGAACTCAGGAAGCATGAACATACTAGATTGTTTCTTTTTGCTTCGTTTTATTTGCAGAAGCAAATACTGCAATTGAAAGTCGAAGTACCAGGGCCCTTGCTTGCTTGCCGGTGCAAGAAGTAGGATGCTTGTTAGGCGAAGTAGTGTAACGTTTTGGGAACCTTACCTGACGTGATGTCTTGAATGTGTGACTTCGCTAGGGGTGCGCTGTTTGGATTTCAGTAAAGCTTTGGACTCAGTAAATACACGGAGATTTCCATAAGCCTCCAGAATAGTCGCTGGTATGTGATTTTATCGGACGCTCTGCTAAGATTGTTAAAAGCCACACCTATACCTTGTCCGTGGTCAATTGCGTGCTCACTTTTCTCGTTACTGATAGGTTGGTGGAGCAGTAGCGTCCCTTCTAGAAACTAGACAGGGAAGAGAAAATGATGTTAGTTGCGTCGCAATACTTCTAGACGATAAATGTCCAGCAGTTTAACTGATGGTTCACAGCGTCCTGGTGCTTTCCTCCTTTGTCCTCGTTTATTACGATCACGGTTTTCCGGTCTGTCGGTAAACGATTAACTTTTAAATATTTCTGGATAAATTGGCAGGTAGGTGAGGAAGCATAGTCAGCTACTGTCGTAAGAAAAGGTATCCTAACCATCGGGACAAAATGAGGAGTTCGGGGTTAGTTTAACTAGAAGTTTCATAACTTTGTCTGGGTTAAATACAACTATTCCTAAGCAGTTGGGTTGCCTGAATCCATGTAGACTGGTCAACTAAGCTTGTGGCGAGTATACGGAGGAGTATTGTCGGTCAAGCAGCTTTGCTTCCTTATTCTCTTTTTAAAGCACAATACCTGTCGCTTTAAATAACAGAGAAAGCACGCTGCAACCGGATTTGGTTATTTTGTTGTGATAAGCATATAGATTTTCATTCTAGGAAAGGATTTGTTTGCCAAACTAAGGTCACATTTTGTTTTTTCCTCAGTCATTTGCTGGCAGCACAAGTTTCCATCTGTCTGATAATTTGAGTAATCCAAGGCCAGTTGAGAGATCTTGAATTTTTCCCATAGATGTCACCACTGATTAAATAGGAGTTGCATTTTTCGATCAATCCAAGGAAGATCTCTCGCGCGGAGCTGATTTCTGGCGTTTAGATTAAGCCGCTTAACGGACGTGTTTATTTCGAAACGTAGAAGATTCCAGGCGTCATCAACATTTAGGCTTTGATGGATTTTCCAGTCTTGGGTGCTAGCCGCTGTTCTTAGGCGAGATCAATAGGCGCGCCAAAAGTTCTGACGGTCTACTTCTAGGTTACGAGTGACTAAGTGTTGCATCCACGTGAAAAAGAAAGTATAATGATTACTGTGAACAATTGATGGGAGAGAAATAAGATCGGAGACGTCAGCTAGTGTCGGTGTTAGCGCAACGTCGAGAATGGGAAGTGGCTGACCGGGGAGTATCCTGGTAGGCATGGATAAGTGCTGTAGTAGGTTAGCTTTAAGAATTACATTAAGAAGAGTGACATCAATTGATTCAGAAGTAAGCCTACAGTTAAGTATTCCACAGTAGAAACCGGGTGCACTAAACTCTTCAAAACTTAGGCAATTCATACCGTTCCCATAGGTTTTGACTGATTCCAGAAAGTAAGAACCGTTGCTCGACTGCAGTTTGTAAACCAACCAGACAATAAGGGTTTGTTTATTTTGTGAATATACCAAAACATGTATCGACGCTTTCCACAACGCATCAGAGGCACTAGCAGCCTTTCTTCAGAACTCTAAAGTTACCAAACCCAGTACCTGCTTATTGTGGCTTTTTAATATTTTAATACACTCTCTTTTGTGAACATTTTGGCATTTTCTTTAAAAGACGTGGCAACTTAGTGTTGTCTACGGTATTTTACAAAGCAACACGTAGGTTCGAGGGCTTATAAGAAGGAGGCTTTAGTAGTACGCGGACAAGCAGTACTGAATCTTCGTCGTTGCGCAACCGCACCAGTTGCACGTGGGTCATGCATACCTCGAGGGTCGCTCTGTCCCTTCGCAGGCTCGGACCCGCGCTTTCAGATTAAAATGCAAGCTTGTTACCTTTAAACTACGGGTTCAGAAACCCGGTAGACCGAACTTTGTTACTGGGACTAATTCCAAGGGTCTATTGGGCAGTCATGCCTAGAACGATCTACAATATCTAAATTCTAGGAATGCAACACATATAACGCATTTCATCTAGAAAACCTGAAAAGAGGACATAGGGAAGAGCCACAAAAATTTAATCCGACGGTCCTCTGGCAGTCCCAAACATGTTTCGTTGTGGCTTCTTCTTGAACTCTCAGTGGGCTGTCCAACGACGGTCACGGAAGTCTCAGGGACTGCCATGGGGACTGTCGCGGGACTGTCGTGCTAGCTGGGCGATCGGCAACTATGACAACGGCATTTAGCTCGCCACGAGGTTTTAGCCAATCACACGTTGCATGCAGTGTAGTCCCTTGCTACTTGATTGTGATAACTTTATCCAACCGTATATGAGGTATTTGCTAAGTATTGCAACCCCCACCTACTTAAGCATTGAAGGCGGAAGCCCTCGGAATCGCCCATATGACGCATTTGACATGCTGCTCCGAATCCTTAGTCTGCTTCTGTCGGGCGATAACCAAGGGCTTATACTATATGTAAGCCTTGTGGTTCTTTTATTGCTTTTGGCTACAAGAGTATTTTCCCTCAGGGCCGGAACTTTCCGCTTAAAATTAATGGGTGACTCCTTTTAACACGTATTTCTTCTTCACCATGATTAAACAACCAGTTTGTAAATAGTTTTCAGAAAACCTTGTTTCCTTTACCGTGCTTCCCTTTGATTTATCAAACCCGCGTATTTGTTACATTTAAGTAGAACCCATTTGTTTTCACAAGTTTACTCTGCAGTCAGAAATCACTAATATTCTCGATACACTGCAGGTTGAGCTATCTTATGACATGATTAAAGCAGACATCTTAAAGCGCAATACTGTACCTACTACTTTCAAGCGTCGAGCTTGGTGATCGCACACCGTCTCAGCTCCTTTGACACATGCGGTTAAATGTCGGCTTTTTGCTTGTTAATGATTCCACACTTCGCCAATGTTGGAGCAAGGGACTTTCAAAGAATACGACGGCGATATTACCTGTTCTGGTTGATAGCGTCCCACTAAAGCAGCTGGCAAAAGCAGATAGCAAAACGCACAAAAGTATCGCCATAAGTTCTACATGGCTGATTTAGTTCGTAGTGGCGTAAACACAGGTCACCTACATATTGCACCGCAGAGGCAACTGATCACCGCAACTTTTCATAACTAACTAATTGACCGGGAACTCGACAATTGAAGACCGCATGGACTAGTCGTCGAGGTCGTGCCGAAATACGTCGCCGTCCTCGAAAGCATCAATTACTCGCTAAATCTTTAAGTCTTCTGCAGGCAAAGCACATGACAAACAAAGAAGCCGAGGTACTTCCTTGATGTGGATCAGGAAAAGAATGGGCGCCAGTACTGTGCATTGGGACGCACACCACACCTTTGAAAAGTTTTCGAGTATCTCAAATATCATGGCCCAATCATCAACCCGGACAAATGCGCATTTGACCAATTTTGAACCTATTTTATAGGTCACGGTATTGACAGGGTTACAGAGTTAGCCTTCTTACTAAGAAAAGGCTAGCCACCATAGATTACCCATCGCCTCAATCTGTTGGAAGCCTACACCGTCTTCTTCACCTGACCAACTACCATGGACGATTAATACATGAAAGAGAAAAAGGCATCAGCTCTACGCTGACACACAGTACTAACGCTTCACCGCTGCGCCATTGCCACCATTCGCACTTGGGCAAAGGATCCTGCATGAGTCGCCGGGTCCCTGCACAAGCTCTAACCAGCGCCCTCGGATTAAAATGATTTGATTACCGAGGTAGTATCAGCTCACACGAAACTAACTTTGTTTCAGTGGGCCAGCACACTGTACCGACACTTGGCTGTCACGCGACCACAGCCAGTGGCACATGGACTGAGTATACCGCGAAGACGCTCTCCCCTACGAGGATTCGAACCGTTGAACTGAGGACTGAAAACCAGAACTGCAATCCTTTCAGCCACTGGCCGACCATCCCCAGTCTCTCTCCACCTCAACCATCATGCAGTTACTAGAGGTTTACTGTCTGCTACAGCAAGGTAGATGAGTGCAAACGTTCTGCTACTTCTACTTACTCCCTTCCTTTCCCATACGCTTCGATCGTACGATTCTTGATATGCATTATCAGTTTCTCTTCCATCGCCCTCAACTCTCAGGATGGTAACTATGCTTCGATCGACCTTTGTCTTATGCATTATTCCTAGTGATTTCGTGCGATCTTTGATCACTGTCACACCACAATACCCGATTTCATTTGTCGCATTCAGCTTTGATATACATAACTTAGCAGACCACTCCTGCACCCACGCTGGATTTTTTCGGAGTGGACGTGTGCTTTGTATCCTAACATAAACTTTATGTCTTACGTGGTTATCA